ATATAGAGTGTCTTGCTGTTCTGGGAAGTTACCATAATAAAGTGTTCAGTTCATGAAAACGCTATGCAGATTATGTTCTTTAGATCTCCCTCAATTGTTTTCAAGGAAACAAAAGTTAGAATGCATATATTTTGTAATTTTGAATTATCAGAAGTTTTGGGCGGCAGCACTTTGCTTCCCCCATTAGAGTAAAATCTGCACGTTTATCCATCTGCTTGTGTTTTTCTTAATTAAGCTTGGAAGCAATCAAGCTTTTTATTTTGTTAATTGAATCTGACTCTACTCCAAACAGAAGTTTGTTTCCAATTTTGTTTAAAGCAAAAACTTGCTGGAATAGAGCCTAGAAGTTTCCATTTCCCTATAGAGGAAATTATTTGATAAATGTGAATCCTGCATATGAATAAAAATCTGTAATAAAACTTGTAAGCATTCTCTATTCCGTCCTCCTTAAGATATTTACTAGACCTCCTTATTTGCTTATAAAAAAACTACACTCCAAACGCGTACCATTCCTGTTCCTATCTTGACTTCTAAGCCATTCTTTCCACTGTGACTAATTTTACAAGAAAGTTCGGAAGTAATAGGGTGACTAAGGAAGGGACCATTCTTTTCAGCTGATTTTTAAACTATGTTCTGTGAGGCTTTGCAAACTTTGTACTATCTGACCCTTTCTAATAAGATTTTGGTAAATGTATTGTACATTTCTCTTTCTCATCTTTCCAAAGAAATGTCTCTGCAGGGCATCTAGTTTAATAAGTGGCACTTAACATATATTCTTTTTTGTATGTATTTCAGTTGCTTGGGGAAAAAAATTGGGTAATTAGTAACCTCCACATATTGCTACTACAACTCTTAGGATTCCTCACTATTAGTCATACTTGTTAAGCTTGGTAGGCATTGTAATGCCACAGTTGAATAAATGAACACATAGCAGACCACAGGTTCTCCATTCTGTTTTAGAAATACATTTAATGTAGAAAGAGTTCTGTAGATAGAAGTCACCTTAATTTGCTGACAGGTATGTTAAAATACCCAGGTTCAAGTTTCTTTTAGTTACTGAACAAAACTCCAGTTCATGCTTGCAATAGACAGCAGAACTCTCTGGACAGCCCCCTCCTACTTTACATTTTCCAATGTAGTTAGAGCCATACTGTTCCACCGTGTGTTTAGCTCAAACTGTTTGTTATGGATGTTCCTCATGTACAGTAATGTAATCAGTGGTGGGATTCAGCCAGTTCGCACCAGTTCAAAAGAACTAGTTGTTAACTTTCTGAGCAGTTTGATGAACTGGTTGTTGGAAGAAATCATTAGGGCAGAGAACTGGTTGTTAAATTATTTGAATCCCACCGTTGAATATCATGTTTTGATTTGGGTACAATTATTCATATTTTGCTTTGTAATTCACAATCCAGAGTCTTAAGTGACCAGGGTGGCCTGCAATTATTGCATAAACAAATAAAATTAAAACATTCAAAGAAACTAACATAACCCTTACTAAGTGCATATGGACCATTCTATTAAAATTAATCCAGTCCACTGTTTGGGGCAATTTTCTGTCTTTCTTTAGATTATTGAGGGAAGGACATTAAAAGCTCTACAATATTACACTATATTATAAGGCAGTGGCCCCCAACCTTTTGGAAATCAAGGACTGGTTCCATGAAGAAAGACTTTTTTATCGACTGGAGAGGGCGATTTCACGTGCTGCATGTATCCCATGGATGGGGCTTTGCTTGTTTGCGTGGCCCAGTTTCTGGCATACCATGCACTGCTGCCACTCGATAGACAGGATTGGGGGCTGAGGACTCCTGCTATAAGGGATACTCTAAATATGTCTGGGGTTTGTACATCCAGTTTTCAGTGGTTACATTTGCAGAGAGTCTATAACTATTTTCTGTTTTAGCATTGCCTTCACTTTGTCATTTCAATCCATAGGGGCATCTGATAAGCCAGACAGAATCCACACCCCTGAAGCTTGAAAATGATCTACAAGGGGATTAGGTTTTATGGTCAGAAGCTTAAATTAAGCCAGTAATTAATTCTCAATCATGCTCTGGAGTCCAGCTTTATCATTCCTGTTTCTGAAAATCAAAGTGCTACATTCTGGAAGCAATTTGACACCTGAAATATTTTACGGACTGTAGGATTGTATGGTCTTTATTGATTCTCAAAATATATATTAGGAAAATTAATTGAAGTATCAGTATAGGTGGGAGGAAGGTAGATAAGTAGAAGTTTATTTATTTATATTGGTTATCTAACTCCAGTGTTAATTTTGGCAACAGAAAAAAATGTCTGAAACTTTTACAGGAATTTTAAAAAATCTATTCTGGCAAATTTAAGATACTCCTTCCCCCAAAAGCCAGACAGAAATGCTAGTCATTAATTAACATACCAAAAACTCAAAACAATTATCAGTATGAAATTACCATCTGCTAAGAAGGCAGACATGCCTGTGGAAGTTTGAGTTCTCAAAATGACTTCTTGTACTGTCAGTTAAAAATGATTCTGAAACGGAATGTTCAATGTTCTTCAGCAGTTTTTAAAAAGTTGCAAAGTGAAATAATGTAGACATGGTGCTAAATTGCTGCCTAGTCTACAATTTACTTCTTGTTGAGATTTACTTCTGGCCTCATCAAAGACATGGAAACATAACCCATGTTTTTTCTTTAAATAATTTTATTTTTTTCTCTGAAAAATTTAAAAATTATGAAAATTTCCTAATATCTTATTTTTAAGTAATGTAAAATGTTCAAGATGTGAAAAATGGTCTAGAAATAATTTTGTAAAAGGCAAATATGGTACTCAAACCAAGTTTTGGTTTACGGAGTCCCCGAAAATTATCAGAATCAAAATAGAAGTTATTAATGACAAACTGGGCAAATCAATGCAAAACATGTCCAGCTTTATTCTGAAAAGTAGTGCTTTCGGTAGGTATGCTTTCGGTATTGGTGGAAAAATCTAAAATATACTGTATATTTTTCTTTGTTTTACTACAGAGTTGATGATTTTGTTTTGTTTTCCTCCCCATATTCTTCCAAAGCAGGTAAACATGAGATGTTACATCCTTGGGGTTCAACAGTTTGTAATTCCATTTTAAAAAATTAAAACACTTTATAAATTAACGCATTTGATAAAGAAAAAGTGCACGCATTTAATTTTTCTACATTTCCATTTTCACCTTTCAATTTTTCCTTTTAAATTTCTAAAAAGGTTACATTGCTAATTATTCAAACACCATACTATTGTAAAGTTTTTTTGAGTGCAGCTCAGAATCTAATAAATCCAGTGAAACTCTGAACACGAGGCTACTGATAATCAGCTTTATTTTCTGATCAGAAAGCAAAAATTGGGCGACCTTTCACTCTCCCACCTTAAACACAAGGCAGAGAGAGAAAAGCAGGTGTGCCCAAAAACTTTTTCTTGAACTTTTATAGATTACACAGCTAACAAAGACAGTCATTGCTATGGAAACATTTCATATCAAGCAAAGCTCATGAAATTTTCTCAGCATTTCTACAAACAAAGGAACCTTACTTAGATGGATTGGAAAGAAATACATTTTAGCCAAAGCTTTGTTTCTCACATTTTAAATTACTGGGAAGAAGACATTCTAAGTTAGTTACAGCAAGCAGATAGATGCATTCTGCATTTCTCAAGTAGTTACTTTGCTAGGCTAAGGTTGGCAGTTAACCTAGAAATTTTTGTTTCTGCAGTTGGCTCATTTCCCAGCTCAGCACAAGTTAACAATGGAGCTCATCTCAGTTCAGCAAGGAAATCAAAGATTACACTGTATTACACTCTGTTTATGCTCCAATCCCTTCACTATAAACGTGTGTTTATCCCATACTTCCAATCTTCCATTTATTTACCCAGAATGTCAGAATTTTTGTCACACTCTGCTCTTATCAAAATAATGTTCACTGTGGCATATTAAAAAGTTGCCTGATCTCGATAATTCTTCTGCCACATTTTTACATTGTTTTAAACTTTCAGCTGGATTTGCAGGTCTTTCATTCTATATGAAGTATGTTCTACAGATTGAAATATGATCTGTGCAGTGGTGGGATTCAAATTTCTTTACTACCGGTTTTGTGGACGTGGCTTGGTGGGCATGGCAGGGGAAGGATACTGTAGAATCTCCAATCAGAGGTGGTATTTGCCAGTTCTCCGAACTACTCAAAATTTCTGCTACCGGTTCTCCAGAGCTGCTCAGAACCTGCTGAATTTCACTTCTGGATCTGTGCTATTTTAAATTTAAAGCACTGAATTAACCAACCAGGCAGTTAATTTATGTTCTTGTTACTTCATTTCCATTCCATATAAAATTGTCAATTGCTTTGCATGAATTATTTCTTTCCATTGCCAAATCAATAAAGGCTCATTGCAGGTGAATGGTAAAATTCATGGTAAAAGTTAAGAAATCAATAATTCCATACAGTAAAATATACTAAGCAATAGACAAAATTATTCAAGTAAAATAACAAAAGCCCAAGAAGTCAATTAAGTTAATTTATTAAGTCTTAAGTAACTTCTGAAATGTTAAAAGGGATGGGGCAATCCTTAATTTCAACTAGATATTGCTCCATAACATTTGTAATGGTTTGTGGGCAATACACGTCCTATATCCTAACTTTGAGGATAGGGTGCTCCTATGTCCCAAATATTTCTAGTGACTTAAATTCAGCATATAAAACTTTAATGTGAGTCCTGTCATCGCAAATGTCCACCTCTCATTAAAAACCGCAACAGCCACCTATACCGATTCCAAGCTCGGTATTTTTTCTGATCACATAAACGTCGCCTCAAAACTACAAATCCCAGGAAACTTAGCGCAATACAGTTGGTTGCCTCTCCTTTCTTATCAGTTTTCCTATTAGTCCACGAGAAATCGTTAAGCGGGTGCCACGTTCGAACAGACCAATGGCTGCATGAAGAAAAGGTGGGAGCTAACAAGCTGCTCTGGAAATAGCCAATTGGCTTTTGCGACTGAACGGCCTATGGGAAAGCAAAGCGGCAGATATGAAATGGCGACGGAATCGACTAGGAGGAAAGGTGCAGCTGGGCAAACGTATAGGTACGACAAGAGAGCGCCCATCCGAGATTAAGGCGCCCATCCGGGAAAGGGCTGGGGCCGCTGAAGACTGACCAAAAAGCGGTTTGGTAGCGTTTGATGTAGGAGCACGGAAGGGCAGATGGAAAGGATGTTGAGTTGGGTTTCGAATGGACGAATAAACGTGGCCTGCGCGGTTGTTTAGTGGTGAATTAAAGCAGCAGTACATTTTCTACTTGGTCCCTGCCATAAATCACTATATTTCAGTAACCCCAAAGGTGCCTTTTCAAGAGGCAACTGGACCTTCTGGTTTTTCTTAGAAGACGTTTCGCTTCTCATCCAAGAAGCTACTTTTGTTCTGAAGAAGCATCTTGGATGAGAAGGGAAAGGTCTTCAAAGAAAAGTTCCGTTGCCTCTTGAAAAAGCACCTTTGGGACCATGGCCTGGATGACTGAGAATCTCCATAGACATATCTTTCAGTCATAAACTAAATAAGTTATGTATAAGAAGTGCTAGATGATCCCTGGGGTCTTCAGATAAGGTTAAAATATTCTTTAATCAGAGAACTGCTATTCAATGTCTGTGGAGGTACCAGTATAACTCTAAGCTAACATGCATATGAGTAGTTTATGGTTTAGTGTATTGCATGAGACCACCCAGTGTGATTTCTTTTATGATACAGTATATTCAACAATTACACTCCTCTTTCATTAGAATACCATATGGCTTTAATTCCACCCAATAAGCTGGACTGTAGCAGTGGCTGCACAATCCACTACAGTGCAAGCCACCCTATAAATACAGTATGAACTCAGGTGATGTGTTAGTTTGTCTTGTGTCACAGAAATTCAGAACATGGAGATAAATGGGTAAATCATAATTGGATTAACCATGGATTGATAAAATGTGCAATGTTAGCTATTTTTTCTCATGGAAACAGGATTAGATGATTTGCCAGTGCATTTTTTCAAATAAAACAACTTCCGGTGTGGCTGTTGAATTATTACTTATATAGTTCTGTTTTATAACTATGCTGCTTCCCTGAGACTAGGTCCATCATTTTTTGAGACACAAACTTGCTGTATCAAAGGGGGCAGGGAAGCAGGTGTAAGTATTCACCCTTTGCCAGCCAGTTACCCTCAAAATATGCTACATGATTTTTAACCTCAGCTAATGGGGTGCTTGAGTATAATAATCATATATGAATAGGACAGAAAAGGAGAAAACTATTTTTGTAGCCAAAGAGGAAATAGCTAGGGACCATGGGTTCGAGATAATTTTGGGTGACCACTAGATTGGGGATTTGAAGAGAAAGTTCTGAGTGGTTCAGCATAGCAATATCAATAGCACTTAGACTTATATACTACTTCACAGGGCTTTACAGCTCTTTCTAAGCGGTTTACAGAGTCAACGTATTGCCCCCAACAATCTGGATCGTCATTTTACCGACCTTAGAAGGATGGAAGGCTGAATCAGCCTTGAGCTAGTGAGAATCGAACTCTGGCAGTCTGCAGAATTAGCTTGCAATACTGCATTCTAACCACAGCGCCACCCGGGCTGTTGGTGGGCTAGATCAGTAGGATTATAGTTCTAGCAGAGCAACTACAAAATATTGGTATAAAGATGTTAATTGTTCTTAAAAAGTCAAAATAGTGGCATTTTAAGAAACATATTTAGATAAGTTTTATTTGTGTAGCTTGAGAGCCCCTCAATTAAAATGATAAAATGAAACATAAAAAGATATGAGTTGGTCTATATTTAGTTGTCTCATTAACCATAGCATAAAAACTTGCTTGTGCCATAGCCATTTTAAAAAGTCATCTTCTTAAGACTGTCTTGGTTGTATTATTACCTTATTGTTGTTCATTTATTCATATCAGAAGCATCACAGTTAAAATAAGGATACTATATGACATAAAATTTAAAATATAAAATACAAGATTAAAATATATACAAATTAAACAGAAATGTTGCCCAGACACTAGCAACATTAATTCCCAGGTGTATTACTCTAGTGTAGGATTGCCCTTAAAGTGCATTTGGAAGCTGCAGATGGTCCAAAATACAGCAGTTATAGACATTTTTGGATACATACATATAACATCTGTGAGCTGCACTGGCTCCCATTTTTGTGCATTTCAAGGTGCTGGCTGTCATCTATAAAGCCTTACATGGCATTGAGTCACAATATTTGCAGGACTATCTGTCACCTATCATTTCTGCTCAGCTTATCAGAACTGGCAGGGTTGGCATGTTCCAGGTCTATTAGGAAATGTAATCTTCTGGGACATGAGAATTGTGCCTTCTCTGTCAAAGTTTGCTCTATGGAACAGCATCCCACCAGAGTTCAGAATGGCCTCAACCCTTCATAAGGCATTCAAACCTAGATATTCCCCCAGGCTCTGGGACCGGGCAGTTAAACCAGCCCTATGTAGTACATTTCAGATGTTTGTGGGCTACTTTTTAAAAAACATTTTGCATTCTTTCAGAAGAATGCTGGATACATTTTAAACAGTTCTATAAAATAAAATTATATTTAGTTTCTATAAAATTATAAATTGTAAGGTAGTGGGAACGAGCTGATGTCATCTGATACTTAGGCTCCCTTTGAATGCACCAATGGAAAATTCTTCATAAAATCAAAACAAAGTTTGCCGCCTCCTCAACATTGGTCTGTGTTAAGGAGAATGATTGGTTATAGCTTGCTCCATAAATTATTAAAAGACATCTAATTATGAAGCGAATCTAATCTGGCTTTTATTCATTTGTCCTTGGTTTCCTTTTTCTATCTAATAGGATCTGATATCCTTGAGGATTTTACTCAAGGGCCATCCTCTTCTTGATAACTTGAGCAAATCCTTAGCTTGTAATTCATTAATCAAACATTTCTATGAAAGCAGATATACAGTTGTCTACTTTCTTTGCATCATGTTTCTTTCTTTTTAGTATGCAAATGGCAATGTGCCGCTCACATTCTTACCTTTGGATAGTGTGTGACTGAATTGTTTGAAAGAGTTCCGACTTTCATTAATGTTAATAATAACCAAGCATATTTTTGTGTGAGGGACTGTTGCTGATAAAGTGACCTTTCAAAACTACAAAGCTTAGTAATGTTTAGCACAGAATTTGGTAGAGAGTTAAGGGCTACTCTTATTGTGAGATTGTGCACCATAAAACATGAATGGGGTTATAAAAGCAGACAGCAACGTGCCACAATGCAGCATATTATATATGATTGAAGTTTTCCAACAACAAAACATACTCTGAAGATTAATTAGGCTGAAGACATATAAGAGGTAAAGGAAAGAGGTAAAAATGTATAGTTCAATTTTACACATCAAGAAAAATTAGAAATCAGAAGAAAATATTTTAAAGGAAAATGCCTTATAAGATTTGGCTTCATAAACTAGATATCAAATGAGGAAGTCATGAAAGAAGATTTTAAAAGAGAAGATAAAGCCAGTGGAATACATAGTAAGTTTGGGTTAAGCATTAATAAATCTTTGAGAGTATAAAGTATAAAGCTTTGAGAGCTTAATACTAGATTGCCCCAATAAATTGGACATTTTAAATGGTAAGTTCTTCAAGGATGCGGTCTACGCTCTAGTATTCCATAAAGTTGGTTGATCTAAGTTCTGCTCTGACGCTAATGAAAGTTGATTATTTGTGAGAAGAAGGCCAACAAATGAGTCTTTGTCTTGTTTATTGTGTGTGGAATTTGCATAGGCTGCGTTGGAGCAGGCAGTTCTGCTTCTGAAAACAAGGAATTAGTTCTTCTCATTACATCTCTGCTTCCCAATGCCGCGCCAGAAACTTTCAGCACTTGTGTAAGAGATTTGTCTTTTCTATTATTTCAGAAACGGTTGCTTTAAGATTTCCTGGAAATTAAGAATTGAAAGTCTTCAAATAGGCAGGCATATACTAGCTATTAATTATGCCTTGAAATTGGTTAGGGTTTCTTTAAATTCTAGAACATGGGGTGTGTGTGAAAGTTTGAATAGGTGACACAGATGTTATGCAGACTTAGCAGTTTTATTGGGGCAAGACATTAACAGCATATTGGTCTTCCTTAGAAGGAGATGTTGGGTCTATGATTAGCTTACAAGTCATATTTATGTTGTCGTCCTGCCTTGCTAGCACATATTAAAACAGTGCAATGGAGAACCTTGGTTTTTTTTTTCTTGGAGGGGGGCGGGTTGGACTGGATGACCTACAAGATCCCTTCCAGCTCTTTAATCTAATCTAAAAGTATGAGGTCAATCAACATTCATCTCCAGCTGTTTGAACTGAAGGGCTCCATCTTGTTTTCAGCTTGTTAAACATATCAAACGGCAGGGTTTCTTATGAAGCTGTGCTAGAATTAGATTATTCTTGGCAGCTTACTCGCTCAGGGATGAAGAGAACTGTTCTTTTCTGTGGTTTACTGTGTTTGGGGTGATTTTGCCAACTTCACTGCTTGGATGATTTCAGATTTAATTAGCCACTTCAATCCCAGGCTGGGACTGCAAAAGGATATCTATTGCAATTTTCCACAATGGCAAATATGGTCTATCTAGGGTAGTTCTGAATAATTTTGATAAAAATATTCCACTATGTTGGACTATTGGAATTCTAAAAAAAGCAGTAAATTCAATTGACAGTTTTTTTCTTTATGCATTGTATATTTCAGAAATTATTTAATTTTTATACAGCATATAACCTAACAACACATAAGTTTCCTCTAAGAAAAGAACTGTATTATATTTCTGCTTCATGCTTCCATAATGTTCTACCCAGTAAGAGCAGAAAAAAAAATCATTTGATATCCATGGGATGATATATTTATAGTGTATACCTTTGATGTAACTTCCAGGCTAACTGTTCTGAATAATTTCCAAACATTCTTACTGTTTTAGAACATTATTCTTGTTAAAAAAATGTTTACATGCTTATGTTATAAAAATAATTGTTAAAAGCTGAATGATTGCCTTTTTAAAGAATATATTTTAAATGTAATGTTCTCTATATCAATTAATATGAACTATAATTGTCCAAAGCTGATCAATTATACAGTTTGTTTTTAGCTTGACAGGGGGATGTGTATTTCTTTGGGGTAGGTATAACATGCAAATCACTGTAGTATCTTATGCAGCCAGCATGACAGTATTCTGTTATGTTGCATATTGCAGAAATGGGTGGAATGGTATGGTATCCTTAAAAAACATGCAGATTATATTAAAACATTATTTCTATAATATAAACTGTGGCCCATTTTAGTTTGACTGCCTGCATGGCTAAAGTTTATTGCTATATTGGAATTGCATGTCTCTCATGAAGTAATGCTTCACTCTCTTCCTCAGTGATGCCATTTGCAGTTTCGTTATCTGCAATGAGTCTTCCCTTCAGCGGCAACAAATCATCTTTAATCCAGACTTCTTTGTGGAGAAGCTGAGACATGAGAAGCCTGAAGCATTCACAGAACTTGTGGTCAGCAACATTACCCGATTGATTGACTTGCCTGGAGCAGAGCTTGCTCAACTGATGGGTGAGGAAGAGCCCCAGTTGCCTGGTGGGACTAGCATTTCCTCAGGTTTTTTCCGTTCCCTGATGTCTCTTAAACGCAAAGGTAAGTATGATGTGTTTGCTAGTGCTTTCTATTGGCTTTCAATGATAATTGACAGAGCCTCTGTGGCACAGTGGTTAGAGTGCAGTGGTTAGAGTGCAAGCTCCTTCTGCAGCCAGCTGCCTACAGTTTGGCAGTTCAAATCCCACCAGGCTCAAGGTTGACTCAGGCTTCCATCCTTCTGAGGTGGGTAAAATGAGGACCCAGATTGTTGGGGGCAATAGGCTGACTCTGTAAACTGCTTAGAGTGGGCTGTAAAGCACTATAAAGTGGTATATAAGTCTAAGTGCTATTGCTATAATATATCATGGTCTCACTTCTTTATAATTGGCAGTGTTTCCAAAGAAATGGATACTATTATTAGAGTTGTATCAAGAGTGTTGAAGTGCTTCCAGATTGAAAGGATTGAACAATGACATCACAGTTGTCTACGGGATGCCCAGTTGGGGACTTCTTTCTTGTCCCTGTTAAATTACCCACCCATGTAGTACCCATTTATCTACTCGCGATCATCTGTTTTTAAGCTGCTGATTTGGCAGGTGTTGAAACACTCATCCCGTCCTGCAGCAGCAACTGGGTCTCGAACGCCAATCATCAGCTCAGTGTTCTAACCTCGTGGGCCACCACAGTCAACAAAATTGATGAAATAATATCTCCCAAGATATTCGTATGGCTGCTGCTCTGACCTAAGGCTGGCTCTTCTGTTACAGCAAAACCCACAACTTTATTAATAAACTTCCAAATTAAAAATTAGGAAAGCAGTATTACAAAGGTATCTATTATGATTAATCCTTAGTTTTTGCTATATTTCTTTTTAATATCAAATGGCACAACTAGAAAAAAATAGCAGTCAACACTGAAGGTGTTCCTAGGAGAAAAGCCATCCTGTTCCTTATATTCTTAGAAGAACTAAAGTTCAGTGTCTTTAGAACTATTTTAAATATATAAAAGTTCACAGAAGATAATATTAGGCTAGATGGACAAAATTACAACAATAGCTATCTAATACTTTCTACCATAGGTAGGCATGTTAATTCTACCCACTATCTCATTAGGTTGCTTAAGAATCTGGGATGTTTCCTGGGTTACTACAGTAGGTTTGGAAAAATTGAATCTTGGACAAAGTAGCATTCTATATCTTTGGAGCTGACCACTAATTACTAACTTCTTGTACTGTTTCTTGTATCTTCTTTTTGGCATAGTATCTTAGAGAAATATTTCTGTCAATCTAGAAAACGAGTTCTGCATTCTTATCCTGTCTTATGATTTTCTATGTTTATGGAATCACATTGTAATCTAATTAGACTTCTTTCCAAACTGAATTCAAATATGCAACAATCTCTTCTTGCAGTGTAATTAGAAGTTCTATTCTGTTCTCTCATAATATAATGATAATGTCACATTTAAGAAATGACATTTTAATTTGCTTAAATGATTTTTGAGTAGTCACAATATGCCTACAAACACTAGAAAAATCTTAATTTAAAAATCTTAATCTTATATTGTAACAGTAATTTCTTGGACTAAAAACTACTTTACATGGAAATGCTATTGTAGAAAGTTAGCACCCACCTCTCTCCTAGAAGAATGAAATATAGGAAATATTAAAAAGGCAGAATATTATACCTTTCCAATCATGCTCTTGGAAAGCAGCCCACATCTTAGTTAATAGCTTCAAAAAGACTGAGCCATCTTACAACACAAAAGGTCTTCAGCTCCAGGGTGATAGGAATTGCCCAAAGCCCCTTCATTACAACACTCAGCAAGATTCAACCAGGCCTGGGACTCAAGACAACCTACAAAGTTACCCCTGCATGGACCCATGGGAGCCTAACAACCAATCAGGATACATTTCTTGCCACAGGAACAGCAAGCAAGTTCAAAGCCCAACAGAAGGTATAAATCTCTCTCCCTATCTCACCCAGGTGCTCTTTTTTTTGCCCAGGACCTCAAATCATGTGGTCCTGTTCCGCCATTAAAACCACCCTTCCAAGCAACCTCCATGTTTCCAGTGTCTTTCTTCCCACTTGGAACTGAACCCAGATGGACATTTAGGGGAATGTGTATTTCTTTGGGGTAGGTATAACATGCAAATCACTGCAGTATTTCTCTTATGCAGCCAGCATGACAGTATTCTGGTATGTTGCTGATATTCCTTCATAAAGTACACAATGTGAATACTACAGTATAAACAAGACCCAGGCATAAATATAGATTAAAAGTATCTATTTTGTAACATAGCTTCCCTTATAGAAAAAAACGGTATTTCTTTTCTAACCTGATGCCTTTCGCACTAATGATAAGAGTAAAGTTTTATTTATTTATTTTGAAAATGGATATTGAATGGACATAAATTCCGGTCCAAGTTTTACTTCTGACATTTTGAGATAGCGAATAAACCAATCTGAGTTTATATAAAACAATTGATATTTTCTTTGATTATCTCCTTGTTGTTTTTTGAATTTATAGAGAAAGGGGTGGTATTTGGAGCACCACTGACTGAAGAAGGCATTGCTCAAATATCTCAACTTGTTGAGTATTTGCATAAGAGTAAGTAATTTTGGAGGTCTTTCTATATTTCTTAAGTAAGCAATTGTGAATTAATCTGAGGCAAAAAATTGATTTATAAAAACTTTCTATATATGCTTTTAGATCTGAACATTTTCTTCTCTCCTTCTGAAAATAGTTTCTATTTTATGTTTCTTTTGTTCTGGTAAACTAATAGTCATAACTAGAAAAGAACACAATCTGAAAATAAATTTAAATGACCATTCTGTGATATAACATGAGAATATATTGGCTCAGCCACAAAAATGTATATAAATGAAATATGACAAAAGTGTATAAAAGGTAAATTAATAAAACTATGGTTCTATACTGGCTAATAACAAGTTACAGGGAGTAAATTTTAAAAAACAGCTTTTCATAATTTTCAGAACTGATTCTTTCAAGTGCCATTGGAATAATAGGATTCAAGTGAACTCCACCCAAATGTTTGCACTCAAGAAAGACACTCTTGCTTTGTGAATCAAATCTTGAAGTAGATTTTTAAAAATTCCCTTCATTGAATTCAGTATTTCTATTTTATTTTGTACAATTCACTGACTCTTCTATTAGGGCTCTGAAAAGATTTAAAAAGAAGAATAAAGGTGTGAAAAGGGCTGTCATATCTTAGACTGCAAAAAATCCAGACAATCACTAGATCTAGATCAAGATATAGATTCAAAATGAGATCTAGATTCAAAATTAGGAATGGTAGCAGTTACTGTATCTGGCATATGTTTAATACCTCTCCTGTCATGGTGCAGATTTGCGGACAGAAGGCTTGTTCCGAGTGCCTGGAAACAGTACTAGGCAACAGAACCTGAAAGAAGCTTTGAATAGTGGAACAGAAATTGACCTGGATTCAGGCGAGTTTCATTCCAATGATGTGGCCACTTTGTTGAAGATGTTCCTGGGAGAATTACCAGAGCCTTTGCTGACCCACAAACATTTCCATGCACACCTTAAAATTTCAGGTAATCAACATTAACTAGGCAATGTTATCAGTTATGTATTCTTTCCTGCAGGCACTTTTGAATGAGATCCATTTTTCAAAATATCCATCTTTCTAATTCATCTGGTCATTGGAGGGGCGATGGCTCAGTGGCTTAATGATGCTGGAAATGGTCTCAGCTCTGGCGTTTCGAGTGCAAGCACTGTGTGGCAGGAGAGCTCCTCTCACTCTCCTCAGCTTCTGTCTATCTCACAGTTCGAAAGCATGTTCTGTGCAAGTAGATACCACTTTGGTAGTGAGACAGGCTGGTGCTCTATGCAGTCTGTCAGATTCCTGACAGCTCTCAAATTTCCTGTTTGTAGCACCCGTTTGTGGGGCAGCTCCAGGAAGGGAGAGGGCCTTGGTAACACTGCAGGAAGAGCCACTTGTTTTTCTTTCTGGTGTGAAGCCTCCTGTGGCACACCTTGGGAAGTGCGCAAGTGTATCCTATTCAGGGCTGGTACTTTGCCAAGCGAAACTACTATTCTGCTTCCTGGCTACTGTAACAACGCCATAGGCTCATAATAATCTGGTGGCTTAAAAAGTGTGGAGACCCTAATATTTCCCTGTTCAAACTAATGGCAAGGATACTTAAATATGAAGTTTTGGGGATTCTTAAAAGAGTAATCAGAAGTTGAAAATAAATAGTTTTAAGAATGGGATAGAATTCCTGAGATTTCTTTTAGCCAGCCATGCTTAACAGATATTTTCCTGATTCCTGCATTATAGACCTAATGCAGTTTGATGACAAGGGCAACAAGACCAACAATCCAGATAAAGAGCGTCAGATTGAAGCCCTGCAATTGCTCTTCTTGATCTTACCAGCTGCCAATCGCAATCTGCTCAAATTGCTGTTGGATCTGCTCTATCAAACAGCCAAGAAACAGGACAGGAACAAGATGTCAGCACATAACCTTGCTCTTATGTTTGCACCTCATATTTTGTGGCCCCGAAATGTAAGTATTCTGTTTCATATAATGGTGAAAAGGGAAAAGTAGGGCAGGCTAGGAAGGATGGAATTTCTCAATAGATGACTGCTGTAGTTCACCATTAAAATAAGCTCGCCTCTATGATTTTGCAACTCACTTAACCTCTTCTCATTCTGTATCTGTTGCTAGGTGACTGCCAGCGATCTGCAGGAAAACATTAACAAACTGAATAACGGGATGGCTTTCATGATCAAGCACTCACAAAAACTCTTCAAAGTAAGATGACATAGAGAGAGGAACTAATCTCCAACACTGTTGCCCTATTGTCTGAGGGCATTACTCATTGGGGGAAAGTGGGTGCAAACTGTGAGATGCTCTGGGCCTTTTTAGAGATGCTGCTTTGGGGGTGTTACTTATTTCTGTTGCTGGGCTCTCTAGCATTTATCTATTTTTACAAAATGATCTTTCACATGTGGAAGTTTTTTAAAAACATTTTCTACACGTGAATGCAGGATATATAGTAGGTGATATCCATTGTTATTAAGTGGTTTTGATGAACCTAAACTCTGTATTTACTAAGCAGTTCTGTTACACCTTTTTCTTATTAGTTAGTGATTGGTTATTAGGCCTTTAAAGACTTTTCAGTTTTCTTTGGGATGATGTATGCCTAATGTATGATGTCTTTAGTTAGGCTAAAGTTTCTTAGGAAACGAGCACTCTTTTGTTAAAGTCAGCATCTGACAGTATACAATATATATGAGACTACAACACAGATCTGAATTTTTCAAGACATGAACTTTCTAGTATTATATGCTCAAAAGTAGAAAAATTTGACATTACCCACAAGAGAGGAATAATGGGGAAGATAACTGAACTTGAAGTGATAGCTAAATTAAGCTATTTGATTAGAAAAAGGGGACCATAAACTCTGGGCTTTGGCACGGACGTTTATGGCTGGCTTAAAGACTTTTTGCCCAAAATGAAAAATGATTTGAGATTTTGATGATTTAAAAAAACTGAATCGAAAATAGTTTGCTGTAAAAAGGATTGCTGCAAAAAAGATTGGAAATTGCTTTCTATGTCTTTCTGTTCTTTTTTCCTGCATTTTTCTCTGTTTTCTTTCTTTTTCTTTCTTTAGTACATTTACTCTTTATTACAGGTAGTCCTTGATTTACAACCATTTAAGACCATTTGAAGTTACAAGTGTTGAAAGGAACTTTCCACAAGTTCTTGTGCTTGCAACTGTTGCAGTGTCCCCACAGTCATGTGATCAAAATTCAGGTGCTTGGCAATCAGCAGATATTACAATGGCTGTGGCATCCTAGGGTCACATAATTGTCATTTATGATGTTCCCAGGAGACTTCCGACAAACAAAACTGATGGGAGAGTCTGATTCATTTAAATGCATGATTCATCTAATGACTGTGGCAAAAAGGTCGTAAAATCAGGCATGACTCAGCTAAGGATAGATTGCTAGCCATAAAAGTTCTGATCCCAATTGTGATCACACTGTACGTCGAGGACTACATGTAGTTTATGTTAATTTTAATGTTCTTTGTAAAACTTTCAATAGAAATTTAATAAAGAAAAAAAATAGTTTTCTATCCATGAAGTAAGGATGGGCAACATTTTCCAGATTTTTCTGTATTTATATTTTCTGCAAAGGGACAGGATGTTGGCACCCCTACTTTATGTGTAGAAAGTATTACTTTATGAATGGAAAATATAAAGTGTCATAGGTATGTATATCATCTTTCATGTTAAATTGCCCATGTATTGTTTTTCCCCTCACCTTGGAGAAGTTTTATGTTGAGGAAAAAAACTATTTTTAAACCTAATGGCAACAAGCAGGTAATGCAGTGTGAAGGATGAAGAAAATATTAATTGTAACTGCACTATTCCTTAAAATTGGTAACCTCACACAACATTTCTGCTTATAAAAAATTAAGTTCTGATTTGCAATTAGGAAGAAAGGCAACTTTTTTCTAAGTCAGGTTGCTATACTAGTGGAAATAAAGTGAAGGAGAGAAGGTTGCAGATGAGCCCCAAAGGCTCATGCATTGTGTGTGACCTATGGGTCAGATAATCCCATTTTTGGCCATATTGGACTTATGCCAAACCAAAACTGAACTTCTTGTGAAGAACTAATTGGAACTATCTCTGGTATCTCTTTCAAGGAAAAGGTAACCAAAAGGATCTTTGGAAAATACTAATTAGTTCCTGTAAACCTATGGGTCTCTTTTGAGTACCAAGAGCATTTTGATTCATCTTTCTACTTCCCCCCCCCTATTTTCACTGTAAGGCTCCAGTATATATCCGGGAATATGCCAGGATACATTATTTGGACTCCAGAACTCATGCCTCAAAGGTAAGAAGTTGTGCCATCTTTTACAGAAGGAAAGATAGAACTTAGACATAGTGAGGAGGGCAAACTGCACTCGGAAACAGGCTATTTAATGATAAAAGGAAATAGTGAGAATGGAATCTTATGGAGATCCATGTTTGGGAAAAAAAGGAATGGCAAAATTAAATTTTAGATTAAGCATTTAGCTTATTATATACCCTTATAAATTATGATATGATGGGTGACCTTTTTTTTTTTAACCCTTCCTGCATTTGGTGCTAGATTAAATATGAGAGATCCAATATACACATGACAGCCATCAATCATGTATGTATAACAATTTAGACAGTCTTTATAGGTTTGAGCCAATTTGGTGTAATGATTAAGGGGCTTCACTAAAAACCAGGATAACATATATTATATCATCTAGTCATGGAGGCTGGCTGGCTGGGTGATTTTGGGCCGGTCATAAATCTTCTGCCCAACCAATCTCATAGAATAATTATGAGAAAATGGGATGAGGGATCATTATGTACAGTGTCTGGAGTTGTACAAAATAAAGGCCGGATATAAATCAAATAAATATATACATTTGGATTCCTCATTGGGAAGTAATTAGACCTTGATGGCCTAAATAACCGATGGCAGCTCTATGATAGGCATACTGGAATCATTGAGTGAGCGAGGGGTGGCATCTGCTGAAAACCATTCTGGAGTTTTTGAAGTATTCTCCATCCATGGGCTGGGAAAAAAGTGGACTTTTTTTATTCAACTGTCAACCAAATAAGTCCATTTTAGAGAATTTGGTTACAATACACAATATTTGAACAGAGGAGAAGGGAGCATCAGGCCCAAAACAGGACAGGCAGATATTCTATTAACGGATCAAATTGGAAATATTCTCATCGAAGACTTTCACTGGAATAATAACCAGCTTTATAGAAACAAGCTAGTTAGAGCCTAATGATCTGTTTGAATTTCTAAAGGATGACCTGGATTTGCCAATGCCCCAGAATTTCAAAGACATTCAGCTTCTGAAATTCAAGAACCGAGGGCTCTTAGATCCTTCTGCCCACTTGGAAGACACACAGCACCATACAGAAGAAGCACTGAAAGAGCTTTTCTGCCATGTTCATAATATGCCAGACTCTGCCAAGAAAAAAAAGCTTATTCAGCAGGTATGAATACGTATTATTTTGATATTGATATTTAGACTATGGCTCACCTCACAAAATAAAAATGATAAAGCACTGTATCATGAAAGAGCAAATGCAATAGAAAAGCTCCCAGGAAAGAGCGAACAAGCCATATAAGCAGTTTTAAAATAATACAGGCTATATAGTACAGTGGTTCCAAATAACAAAGATTACAGCTTTATTAAAAGATCTGAAGGCATCACCTAATATCAAATTGATCATAGAGGATGTGCCCCCCAAGAAAGGCATTTCACAGCAATTTTAAAATCATCCAATAAACCATTTGGCAGTTATTTATCTTGTTCTTCTTGGCAGCAGATTTCAAAAGGAATATTTCAGGCTCAAGTTAGATAGATAACCATGTGTGGGAGAAAGCATGGGAATCTTTGTAAAAGTAGCTGTTGAGGCAAAAGGCATGAATGGAAAGTAGAATTGGGCTTTGGCATGGACACTGGATAACATCATGGAATGAACTGTGCTATTTAGTTTTGTTCTAGTTTCAGAAGCACCCTGAAGCCCTTACTCCTCAGGCAGCTATATCCACACAGATTCAGAAACGTGCCCGAACTCGTTCCTTCAGTGGCCTAATTAAGGTAAAATCCATTCTACTGTCACCAAAATTTTCTGATGTAAAGGAAGGCATTGCATGAGATGTGTCTTAGATATCTTAGATAATGGGTATTCCAAAACTCTGGGGCTTGCTTGGGCCATATTGAGCGAAGAAGAGTTGTATTTGAACACATATAATATATAATATAGATAATGTACATAAAGAACAAACTTCCTTTAAAATTTTATAATCTTGTGGGGTCATATTACAAGCTCTCCAAAGTTGCATGCACAGCTTGTAGGGCACAGCTTGGGCACAGCTGCCTTAGATGCTGCTCCATTAAGGGCACTTATGAAAGTTTAAAATATTTTCTTCCATCTCATTTTATTATGTCTTTTCCCACGTCTTCTATATCTTCATCAGAAATAATAGGATTTCATTTTAATAAGTTTTCTGTTCTTGCAGAAAGGAAATATATTGCTTAGTCAAATGTGGAATCCAGAATCAAAACATCTCTGCAGAAAAAATAGGGAAAAACTCACCACTTTTCACCCAGAGAAACATACCTCTCATTATTCTGGAAATTTCCATGAATAAATATTGTTCCATTACTTTCCTGTTCTCTGTCACAGTTGAAAATAATTCTCTTTTCCAAATGCAGCGTAAAGTGTTGGGAAGTCAAGTGATTTTAGACAAAAAGAAAAATGATACTTTTCCAGAATCTGCATGCGCTAAGGATTCAAAGCATAGCAGCAAGGAGAATATCAGCATGGTAAGATTTGCTGGAAGAAGGGTCTCTCCTATATTAACCAATGGAATCTATTTGGCAAGGGGAAATTTGTTTAAAAGAACTTCAGGAAATTTTCATTTAGTGACCACAATTAAGATTGTCAACGAGTCATTAAGCAAAACAGTCACTAAGCAAAACAGCAACTGTGCTCATGAGCTCATGTCAGTGTTTCTTGTTTTACAAACCTGTGAAAGTCATAAATGTGATAATTAGATACAAAGTTACTTTCTCATCACAGTTGCAATTGAATGGCTGCTGAATGAAGCAGTTCTAGATGAGGATTTCTGTATATGGCTTATGAGTTTTACTAGCATTTCCTATGTGTATCTACATTATTCTGTTTCCCCAATTTGTCCTGAGAATAGAATCTAGAGTCTAGAATCAGTGCTATTTTTTTTAGCAGTCTTATTGGCATAACAACTAATCCTGTACTTCAGTTATACTGGGGCTAGAAGTACACCCATAAAACAGCTTCCGTATCCAGATTGTGCTCAGCTAATACTGGGGGAGGAAATGTAGTGGAAAGGAAAGAGTACCAGTAATCCTCATTTAACAACCATAAATGGGATTGGCAATTCCATTGCTAAATGGCACAATGTGATTTCACATGAGTGCAGCATACTTACGATCTCACTTCCACTACAATCTTTAAATAAATCTCTGCGATTATTAAGTGAGACCACATGAGCACAATTTGCAATTTTCCTGCCATTAACTCTACTTGTTGGAAGCTGTGAAAAACCCAAATCTTGCAATGGTTGTAAGTGTGAGAACCAGTCGTAAAGTTACTTTTTCAGAGTTTTGTAACTTTGCTAATCCAGATAGTTGTTAAGTGAGGATTACTTGCAAGCACGTTTCAAAAAGAAAGATATGTATAATATTGCAGTACTCCAAACATATAAGTCTAATAATAAAATCAGCAATCACCTATGTTCTGATATTGTCCAAACAGCTCTGTTGAAATGTGCCTGAGACCTTGACTATCCTAGTCTGAGAATTCATTCAGTTTCTCCTTAGCAGCCCATGGGCTCATACAAAACAAAACAACAGCATCTAACTCCTATTGTATGGTGAGAGGCTCACCAGAAGAAAAAAAAACGGTAATGGAGCCCAGTTAATATCAACCTCTCTTGAAATATCTGATCCTAAAACTAGCTGAAACAGTTTTACACTGTGCAGTAGTGAGGAAAAACAGACCAATCCACTAAATTCCATCAAACAATAACAAAAAGTGGTGTAGTTTGTAGTTTTAAGCTGAACAACATGAATTATGGTATAAGAGTTGCCAGGTTCTTTAGCTGACCACAACAATTTTAAAGGAAATTTTGTGCATCAGATATGGTGATACCTATGAATTGAAGGAGGATAATAATAATGACACCAACTATGGTGTCTCCAATAAACATTGTCCAATTGCTTTGTATTTGTGACATTCAGCAGCATCAGTCATTATAGTAATGTATCTGGTGTTTTACCAACACTATAGGGCTGTTCCTTAATTATATAGTTCATAATTTAATGGATGGACATTATATTCATTTGTCTTGTCCTCTGCTGCTCTGCCCTCTTGGATTCTTCCTTTTTCTCTTGTAGTTAAGAACTGTTTCCCCATTCCTAAATTATTAGATTTTAAACTTCTGTATTGTTTTATTAATATATTTGGAATTAGATATTTTCTTCACAATAAAATAGCCTTTGTCAACTCCTAGATTTATTGGCCAACACAGAGGTTTTCAGTTTGGTTTAATGTATCTCAAGATGCAAGATTGGGGGATGCTACCATAGAATAAACTTCATTGTGTTTCCCCAGAGGATTTAATTTCTCAAATTCCTGTTGGATTGATATGAACACAATTTATTGCGTAAAGCAGTACAACAGCTAAATTAATGTTAAAAGCTTAGAACTGCTTTTACAACTAAGGAAACTAATAAATTGATTAAATAAGTTAATTTAAATTAAGGTCAGGATAATTGAGGAGACTCTAAAACTGTTTTAGCTTTGAAGGTCATAGTGAAGTTCAAAGAGTCTCAGTTTTCATCTTGTTTAATTGTAGACACCAGCTTCTTCTCCAGCAATTAATGTGATAAGAGCTAAGCTGAAATCTCTTGAACACAGGAAAGAGGTGAGAGGATTAATATATGTAAAGGAACTGTATGCACATTCACATTTATAACTAGTGTCCTGGATAGATTAGATCGATCTCTTGTAATTGCATGTTTTCTTCTTTGCCATGATGTCTGTGAACTTGTACCATACAACTAAGAGTTAAATGTATATGATTGCATTGGTGTTTCATCTCCCCCTCGGTGTATTTACAATAGGAAGTAAAAGCTAACCCATCAGGGTATTTTTATTATGTGTTGTCTGTGGTTTCTTGAACCATAGGACAAATCAGTTAATTTTTTTTTCTTCTGATTTAGGATGCCTCTAAAAATACTTGATTTCATGGAACTTCAAGCGTATTCCACTTGAGCTGATGGTATATATGTCTAACTTCACTTACTGGAGCCTACAGCTATGTGCCTTCCAGAATAACAAGACTTTCTCTTTCATAAGGACATTTTTGTCTGCCCATATGTTGATGCACTGGATGATATTTGCAGTGTAGCCTGTCTTTGAAGAGGTTATTATTTAGTATTACTTTTATTCCCAACTGTTTATTATTTTGACAACTGTTTGAGACTTGGTTTGCATCCTCTGTCCATGCTCATCTTTACTGGTGAAGCTTTGTTTTTAGCAAGACTGTGTCTGTTTTTTTAACCTGGCAGTTCCCATTAGCATCCACCACAGTTAATTCTTGTTTGCAGCTACGCTCCTTTTGTGATTTTTGGAAATGGCAATTCTGTGATTATGACCAGGGTTGAAAGGGTTGGTATTACATTTAACTATCTCCCACAGGTTGCTTTCACACAAATTTTTCAATCCCTGAGCTATCTTGACCATTTTTAGATCAAGAGCATGGAGAAATTGTACTGTGCACAATCTTCAGAAAGTGTCTCATTAACAAAATGTAACAGGCCTCTTTATTTGAATTCTACTCAATGTTCTGAATCAGTTACATTTTTCTCTTTTCACAGGACTAGTGATTTCCATTGCTAAATGTACTTGTCCTGAGAATGCCATTCTTATTTTCTCCTCAGTGCTGTGAAAACATTTTGGATGAAGCTCCCCAGCACCACCATTACATTTTCATTGTTTGCAATCCAGGCTCTGACTCACATTTTTCAGGCAGGGCCAAGGAGCTGACAGTTTAATGACTAACAATCTACTGGACGAATACTAAAAGGCAGAAGAGCTTGTTAATGTGGAAGGCGGCTGACTTGCTCATTGGGAAGGTGGGAAGGCTGTCAAATTACTAAAAGAAATGTTTCCTTTTTCTTTTGTCAATAACAGACAAACACATGTGAGAGGAGGAGGATGCACTGATATAGCAGTGCTGCTGTTTGAGTAAAAAAAAAAAAGACTACAGCAATATTGCAGCTGCTTGAAACTACTAAGTTTCTCCCTGCTCTTGAAGAATCAGGAATCGGCACTGAGCTAGGTGAACATTTTTGCCATCTTCCCAGAAAACACATTGCTGTCTGAAAGATTTATAACATGAGTTTCATTACTCCCCAGAGAAAAGTCCATATGTTGTCTTTTGTTTCATGATGAGGTTTTATTTTGTTTTTAAATTTCAATAGGTTATTTTTTCCAAAAAAGTGAAGCAATATGGAACAAAGCCTGGTTTGATTTTTTAAGGATTGGGAGGCTATTTGGGTTCCTTAAATATAAGGACTGATATTTTCCTCCTCTTTTAAAGGAGTAGGATTCTAAATCTGATATATACAAGGTGTTCTATAGCAGTTTACAAATACCCACAAATCTACTTGTCAATAATTTGAGCCAAACAATAAAACAGTTGCTAACATTGTGAAGTCATAGGTAAGGTTGAGAGTATGCAAAAACAACTGAAGTAGGGAAAACAATAGAGAGAAACACTCTTGAAGTTCTCATTCTTACCTTCATTTGGTCATGTTTTACTACACTGAGAAGAATCTGACAGGAAGATGTCCAAAATTCCATTCAAATCTTGAAAGCGAAGCTTTCTTGTGCACCATAGACAAATCACTCTCATATTTTATGTAATACCAAGCCATTATTTGGTATTGTGTTCTTATACTTAACTATAACCCATTTTTGTAACTGTTTGCATTTAAACTGGCAAAGTCTAGTTGGTATCTTCCCCTCCATATCAGAATTGCAAACTCTTTTGGAGGGAAAAATGCAAACTGTACCTAATTAGTTCAGATATAACTGCAAGGTGTAGTCCTGTACAAGCCATGACATAACTAAGCATGCTGTGCAGGAGAAATGAATGTGCAGTTTATTAGTTAGTGTGATATATGAACTGCTCTATCACTCACAAGGAATTCACTATTTGAGACTGCCCCCAAAAGCATTGCCTAAATGCTTAAAATATTAAGCCCATTAATAATTCAGATCTTTGATCTTAGAATTGGCAATTCTAGAATAAATCTAGAATAATTGCCTTCAAGAACTGTTACATTTTATTTTAAACTTCATCTGTGCTATGGAGAACTTTCACTTACCAATGCAATGTAATACTGTAAATAATACTTTTTTTTTAATGTTGCCCTGTCTGTTAATGTGAAATTTCTACATTAAATAATTCTTCGTGTTGGATCCTTGTTAACAAATTTCTCCATTTTCTTCAATTCTGGTTTGTAGTACCAAATGGGTGTCTGGGAGGTTTATAACATATTTACATGGAGTTTTAAAAAATTGTGTCTCTGGAACTGAATTCCAAACAAAATTTCTAAGTATTAAAAGCCATCGTTTTTCCAGTGTAAAGCATGTTCAAGTTTTAGGAAAGATATATTCCAATGGATGACAATATCTATAATTCAGGGTTGAACTATGAAATACTTGGTGCTCTGTGAGCTTGATTGTTTGTTTGCAGATATTTAATTACCTAACTAGGTAACATCAGTGCCACTTAGAGAACATCTGAGAGCAACTATTGGATTTTCCTATCTGTGGTTATGTGAGTTCAGATAGGATGAGTAATATCAACTTATGCCATTTGGACTGAGTCTGCTCCAAAATTCAAGGTCCGCCCCTTGCTGTGGCCACTCCCCAGTTCTCAACTCAGTCTTAGCCAGGACAGATGTGTGTTGCAGGGCTCCACTCTAATTACACGTGGAGCCTGGTAGCAAAGGACAAAAAGTTTTAAAAGTGCTTCAGAGGCTTAAAAACAGCTAGTTCCAAGTGAGTGGGGTTTATTTGGCTCCCAGGGCTTGGGATTGCGCTAAGGGCTCCCGACCCAGCGCACGGAGCCAGGACCACAGGGGGGTGGCTCCAGGCGATCGGCCCGATAAGGGCCAACAGCTGACTAGTGCGGCGGCGCAGCAGCAACACAAACTGCTTGCAGTTTCTCTTTCATTTTTCCGGAGCAACGAGGGGATTGCCTTGGCTGCAAAATGCACAGCGCAGCAGCCTGCTGCAGCAGCAGCTTGGAGAGTAGCCAGCTGAGGAGGGCTTTGCAGCAGTGCAAAGCAGCCGCTAGATGGGCATCGGCCCAGTCCCAGCTGGTGGGAGACAGCAAGGAGGAAAGATAGCCCTCCAGCTGAGGGCGCTATCGACCACAGTGCCAGTGCTCTGTTTCCAGCTCCAGCACTGAGGAAATCACGTGGGTGCCTCCTGACCTGCTTGCAGGTTCCAGATCTGGTTTGTGACCGGCAGGGTGTGGCTGCAGCCCAGCAATAGCCTTTCTAGGCTTGCTTAGCCAGTTTGCCAGGTTAGGAGAACAATTCTTAAATTTGGATCAGGCCTTAATGTATTAATTGTTTGTGCTTGGATTAAAAACTCCTCAGGTTCCATTCTTCCTCTGGCTCTTTCTTGTACCGTAGCTAATTCTCCAGGTGGGAGGGGAGATAAAGAGCAATAAAGGGAACCCAGCCCTTCCACTTCCAGGGGCAGATCCAGGGGCAGACACAAAAATCATACACGTTTTCCGGGCAGAATGTTACTTGCAGTGCTTCGGATATGCTTTTGTTCACATGCATGTTTCTGATCTGGAACAGTATATATAGAATAACAGTTGGAAGGGAACTTGGAGGTCTTCTAGTCCAACCCCCTGCTTAGGCAGAAAGCCCTGCACCACTTCAGACAAATGGTTATCCAACATCTTTTTAAAAACTTCCAGTGCTGGAGTATTCACAACTTCTGGAGGCAAGTTGTTCCACTGATTAATTCTTCTACTGTCAGGAAATTTCTTCTTAGTTCTGAGTTGCTTTTCTCCTTGGTTAGTTTCCACCCATTGCTTCTTGTCCTGTCCTCAGGTGCTTTGGAGAAGAGCTCGACTCCCTCTTCTTTGTGGCAGCCCCTGAAATATTGGAACACTGCTATCATGTCACCCCTCGTCCTCCTTTTCATAGACTAGACATACCCAGTTCCTGCAACCGTTCTTCATATGCCTTGGCCTCCAGTCCCTAATCATCTCTGTTGCTCTATGTAAAAGAAAAGGGGTAATAATTTCCTTTCTTCATTATTTGTGTAAATCTCAACCTGAAATTTAACCATGGCAATGACAGTATAGGGTAGACATAAAGTAATAAGGCTGGCCAGCAACTCTGAAATAACTGCTTAATTTTAAGAGTTGAAACGCTTAAACAAAAATGCACATCTAATTGATTCACAAGTTCACTGCTCTTGGTTCGTTTTTTAAAATCAGTGTATGGGTTCTGTGGAGAAATACTTTTGCTTATGTTTTCGAGAGAAATAATATATTCACAACTTTACTGTTAAAGAATATTTTATTACTAAATGAAGGGCCCATATTTTATCATTATTTGGTGATTTATTGAGGTGAAATAGTATTTTATGATGGCATTTTAATGTACATTTTGCAAAGGTGAATGGAAGCAAAGCTTCCTTTAACAATTTGCAAAATATAGGTATGCTGTCAACTGAAAAAAAGAAGAGTGAACAAAGGCAAAGAAGGGAAAGAAAATTAAAAAGCAAAACACTTGGGAGCTGGTATAAGGACATTAAGTCCAAAGAACTGAATGATTTATAGGATGAGATCAATGATAGGGAAGAGGAGATGACATACATTTTAAGGGACTGAAAATAACCATTGGCTATTAGTTAAGCAAATAAAGATTGTTGAAAAATTTGATTCCTTAGCTTAATCATAGCTTATAGGATATTAAGGTATGGAAATATTTGATTTCTTTTGCAGAGCTGCCGCTTGTTTTTCTTAGGAAGATATATTCTTTTGGGGATAGGAAATGATTGTAGGTCAGATGTCTTCCTTTTCCTAGAAAAAAAAAAAAGATGACTTCTCCAAAACTACCTTTTGCAATCTGAATTCTGATTACTTTAGCATGCCTGCCACCATTCTGTATATTGTTTTATTTAATGTTTAGACTCTATAAATCAGTTTGAATTACCCAAAATGGGCCATTTGTTGATTTCATATATAAAACTATAATAAGATTATCCTTGGAACCACAAGAGGGAGTTATTTGTCCATCCTTGTTTTAAACCATATGCCCAAGACTCCTGCTTTCATGCACTTGGCAAGCAAAGAGGAATTGTGAGAGGGGAAGTGACTACTGTGTTTTGAAAAATTACTGCAAGAAATATTAACCTATTCTGGTTTTGGTATGGCCCAATCTATCCCTTTACTGGAGAGTCCTGAAATTTAAGAACTTTACTCTCTTTAGTTATTCATTGTTATAAACTGAATGGCCCCAAATTCTTTACCTAAATAAAAACTATTCCACAAATCAACATTGTCACAGGCTATATACTGAAACTAGTAAGTGGCAAATCAGGATCAGAACTCACTTCATTCTAAACATAAAAAGACACTTGGCACTCCCTTGAATTAAGAAAGATAGAGCTATTGTATCTCCATCATTTCTTTAGCTAAAAGAAGAATTTGTTGTGTCTATGTGAAAGAAAGTTAAATGGAATGAAGAATAGTGCTTCCTAGTGCATATCTTTAGAAATCTTTTTGGCTATTCTAGAATCCAAAGCACTCAGAAGGAACCCTTGGGAATCTAAATACTCTTTAACTAGGATGTGTTTATTGTAGTAAAACTGCAGTGCTTGACACTGGAGAATTATGTGAGGAATACTTGGCAATAGCAATGGAAAGTTAGCCTAGTAAGCAGTAAATTATCCTAGCCTCTCAGCAAAGGTTAATGATTTTCGCAAAATAAGGAGGATGAAAGAAAGAATTGTTAATATGATCAATGCTATAGAAAAGGATAACCAAATGTTCACAAATTTGTCAAATGTCTAGACGTTACCTGACCTATTTTTGTGCATACTGTGGCTAGTGTGCCTTAGGGGAAGGCTCAATAGACTGTGATCTTGCAGTCTGTGTAGGAACCATAGAACTTTAAACTATAATCTGAAGTTGGTACACCTGCGAACGAATATTGGTTTTCTACCGTATGGTAAAAATCATTTTTCTGATTCTAAAGAACAAACTGATATATTTAACGTTAAAAAGAAACATTTCTCTGATACATTCTGAAAGCCGGCCTCAATTAATTATCAAAATAACCCATGAAAACCTCTGGTCAGATGACATAAAATATGCCAGAAGGCAAGCTATGACAAAAGTGGACCTACGTTGTAGTAGGTATGTTCTATATTGTACATTTTAAAATCTGAAACTTATAGTTAGAGGAAGTATATTCATAACTTTAAATACACGAATAAGCTAAAAGTGGTGGGCATGTAAATACATAGCAAATAGAGCAAGTCAAGCCATTCTTGACTAATACTCTCAGACAACTCCTTTCTGGTTCAATTATCACGATACTCTTTCTCTTTAAAAGGAATGTCTGAAACAATCTCAAGAGCATTTAGGACAGCTCTTCCAGCTTTGCAAACAAATAAACATAGCCCCTACTATACTTAGAATTAGCCATCTTTTTCTTACAGAAGACAAAGAAATAGTTCATTGCTCACAAATTTCTCTGCAGTTTCCAAGCTTGTTCAGTAAACATTGTTCTTCAGCTCATCCTCTAAAAAAAATAAAGTAACAAGTTGGGCTATAATTATCAGTTGTTTCATCGTCAAAAAGAAATTGAGGAGAAATAAATTAAAATATAATTTTGACAAGAAAATTTGATCCAAGCATTTGAAGAGCTTAGGTATAATGTTAATAATATGGGAAATAAAGGATAAGTAAAATAATGTAAGTATAAATATAATATCTGTCTAAAATCTGGAGATGGGAAGAGATAATTGCTGATATTGAAATATGAGGTAAGGTACAGCAGAAGCTCTGATACATATACATCCACCACAAGCTGGGCATATACAAAAAATGATGGGGGAGTCTGCTCCTCGGGCTATGTGCTCTGCCATAGAATTCCAAATAAAGACCAAGGCACATAAACATGAAAGTGCACTGTTGCATACCTGGAAATGCTCAGCTTTCCCCTCCTCCAATCACCAACTTCAATATATTCTTCAAGGTGAGAGCCCTGTAGTACCAAAGCATATTATATGAAGCACTCCCATGGTCAGGAAGGCATTACTACAGTATTGCTTCAAGCAAGACTTTGTTGAGATACTCTTCAGTGAACACAGTAATTGATCATTTGGTAAAACT